GAGAGGGAGAGAGAGAGAGAACGAGAGGGAGAGAGAGAGAGAACGAGAGGGAGAGAGAGAGAGAACGAGAGAGAGAGAACGAACAGGGGAGGGGCAGAGAGAGAGGGAGACACAGAATTGGAAGCAAGTTCCACGCTCTGCTGTCAGCAGAGTCTGACACGGGGCTTGAACCCATGTAGTGTGAAATCATGACCTAAGCGGAAGCTGGATGCTTAACCAACTGAGTCACACAGGTGCCCCTGGTCTGTCTTAGTTTGGAGAATTGCCTTTAAACTCTAGATGCTAATCTTTTAATTTTAGATTGTGGTGACCTTTTCCCTGTGTGTGGCTGGGACCCCCTCCCGCCGCCCCCTCCTCTGTAGAAGAGAGACTCTTCTCATCATGAGTACATGTGCTCAGATGACAGAAGCGGGCCGCCCTTCTACCTGACCTTTACTCCTCTTCTCAGCCTTCTTGGAGACGTGGATAATTGTAAGAGTTCTCGTCAACAGTTGTGTCGTGGTGGTGCTGGTGGGTGGTGTGTGCTGCAGACCGTTGGGCTGTCTAGTAAGCCTTGAGGTTGATTCTGCTCCCATATGGTAGAAGCTTTAAAAAAGGTAGCGTAGAGGCGCCTGGGTGGCTTAGTCGGTCACGTGTCACATCTGGCCCAGGTCATGATCTCACAGTTAGGTTTCTGAGCCCCACATAACAGGCTCTGGGGCAACGCTGTGGAAATTTCTCTCTCTCTCTCTCTCTCTCTCTGCCCCTCCCCTGCTCCATCTCAGAAAATGTAGCATAATTGTTGCCTCTGCCTTCAGCTTTGGGGCTGTTCACTACATCTGAGTTCTCTGAAGTCCTCTTCAGTTTTCTGTTAGGCACGTGACCCACGTAGATGAAAACCTTAATTTCTGTCTATAATCACTTCCGTTTTTGGTCATTAATTCAGGTAAGGTCTGATCAGTGAGAGAATATGTTTTGGTTTACTCCCTTCTCAGGTTGTGTTCTTGATTATTTTGTTTTTTTTTTTTAATTTTTTAAATTTATTTCTGAGAGAGAGAGAGACAGCGTGAGCAGGGGAGGGTCTGAGAGAGAGGGAGTCACAGACTCTGAAACAGGCTCCAGGCTCCGAGCTGGCAGTCAGCACAGAGCCCGATGCGGGGCTCGAACCCACGAACCGCGAGATCATGACCTAAGCGAAAGTCGGATGCTCAACCGACTAAGCCACCCAGGCGCCCCCTGTTCTTGATTATTTTGAACTTTAAGGAAGATGTGAAGTTAATTTATGTAGTCGCAGTTGGCCTGGCTCTCCCAATGGAGAATTTCTTTAGTGGTGGGTGACTGTTTTATCTTCCTGTTTTTCTTTCTTCTGCCATTACTTTTCATATGTCCTCCCCTCCCAAACCCTCCTGTTGAATTCACAATTTTTAAAAAATATTTTGCCATGTTCTTGATTTTTATTATTAACTGTGGTTGTAAAGGATGCAGGAGGCAAGTAGTTGGAGGACGTTTGTTCTAGTCAAATATGTGCCCCTGGAGACTTCCGTGGATTTAGCGCTGTAGTTTGAGGGAGCTGCTTTTAAACTGTACCTCAGGCAACAGTACTGTTGTCAAGAATTCAAAACTTTTATAGCCGTAGTCTATACATAGACCATGTCAGTACACGGATTGACCACTTTGTTAGATCCTCTTTTACACTTTCAATACATAACTTCTTAGGATTTCTTACTAGGTTTCACCTGGGGGTATCTTACGGACTCATTTTTGCCCCAGTCAGCCTCTAGGCTTGTATGGAAGTAGTTTCTAATCTAACCTGTGCTCGATGCTCTCTTTACTGGTATTCTCCGGAATCCAGCAATTGTCAGGTGAGAAGAAAATATCAGCAGAAAGCTTGTGTAATCAAAATATTCTTTCTCCTTAGTTATAGAGCTAACAAGTTGTCTTTAAAGAGTGAAAAATAGTTCCTCCTTTTAGCAGCAGATAGGGAAGGTGGGAGAAGGCAGCTTGAATATTTATTTTTAGGCATCCAGAAAAAATCTGTGGTCCTCTCTGTAGGGGAGGAAGAGTAATTCTCCTTTTAACCTTCTGAGTTCTTGGCTGAGACCCCTTGAACTAAAAGATAGATGAGAAAAACAAGCTTGTGAACATGTATTCCTCTGGTATACGGGTATGTGAGGGAGATTCCCAGGGAAAAAGCTCCCTTAGAGAGCCCAAGGCACCAGCTTCAATACCGTCCTCAGCTAAAGACCTGAAGGAAGGGTGCCTGGGGGGGTGGGGAGGGGACCGAGGCCTGGGAGGTTATCAGGAAAAGCAAGGGTAAACAAGGGTAAGGTTTGTTGTACAGATTTCAGTTGGTGCATTCTCCGCTGGTTAAGATTCTCTGGTGATAGAGTCCTCTTTTTCTTTCTAGTAGGAGAGGGAGACACCCTCACAAATAGAAATTTTTATAAATGTGAATTTCCATTTCAGAGGGGTGACTTCTCTTTTGTTTTCAGTTTCTCTTGAGTCTGCTCTTTCTCTCTTGAGTCTGCTGTTTCTCAGAATAATCCTGTGCCACATCCTCAGGCCATATTTTGGGTGGCATATTCTGCTAGCTTTCATTGGGTACAAACATCACAAGGGCTCAGATTTTGCCACTTAGAAATCTTTCAACGTGGTCCCTTGCCTTATAACTGCTTCCTTTTCCATGATGACTGCTTAATCTTGCCTGAAGTTGGCTGGGCATGAGTGAGGCTGGAGAATTCATATTTCCATGTGAAGAAATGGGGTCATGTATAGGCAGCTCTTTTGGAGAGTGCATGATGAAGATCAAAAAGAGGAGTATCAGTGATAGCGATCCAGGTGTTTTGTACTTCTCCCCCCTCTCTTTTTTTTTTTTTTTTAAAAGGGAGAGCTTTAGATATGTTTAACCCTGATAGAAAGGATACAATTGAAAGTGAAAGGTTACCCACAGGTGGTGGTTTGCTATGTGAAAGTGAGGAATCAACTAACAATAAACTGAACTGTTAAACACCTAAATACACCGACTAATCTTAGCTTTCATTAAGTTCATTCTGATCTAATATGAAGTCTGCAGTGTTACCTAGAAGTATTCCCACCAGACGCATCAAACTTGAGTATCATCTAACATGTAGCTTTAACTTCCAGTTGATTGGCAGGATAGAGTTTAGAGAATACCATAAGGAAGTAAACAGAATGTGGGAAACTGTAGATAGGACAGGCGGCTCATTCCTCAAGTAAGTCAGTATTCTAGAGGGAGAAAAGAAAGCAGGTGGTGGATACTTTTAGATGGGAGAGACTTGAGAGACCTAACCAAATGTATTGTATTATATAGTCCTTGATTGGATCCTCTTTTGAATAAATCAGATGTAAGATAGTGGTGGAATAATTGGGGAGATTTGAAAATGGACTAGGTAGTAGTAGCTCCTAAATAATTACTATTAATTTTGGTAGATCTATTAAAGGTGTTATGGTTAAATAGAAAAATGTCCTAGTATTTTTGGAGATCTATGCTGATGTATTTCCGAATGAAATGTCTTCATGTTTGTAATTGACTTTAAAATACTTCAACAAAAATAATATAAAGTAAGTACAATGATAATTTGTAAATCATATGGTGGGTATTATGGGTGTCCATTGTACTAATATCTTTACCTTTTTCTGTGTTTGAAAATCTTCCTAAAAGACTAAAACAATGGAGGAGAAATGAGAGCACGGAATATTATATAAGATAATCAGAAGTGTAAGATTGCTGAAAAGATGATAGGATTTAAATCCTAGGTGGAAGAATTGGACCAAATGACAGAAAAGTCAGTTCGTCTATTCTACTAGAGGGGAAGGAGAATGTGATGAGTCAGTTATCTCTGTGTAGTTTTATATATTTAGTCTTAGAAGATTGAAAGAGTTCATGTCTGATGGCTTCTGCTTTCTCTGTGATGTAGAAGGCAAAGTCTTCTGCAAGAGAGGGTATGAAAGGTCAAAAGCTCAAAGAGTTCAAAGGAACTGAAATAGTTGATAGTAAAAGTGGAAGTGATTAAAAAGCTGCATGGAGCGGCCCGGTGGTTTTGAGGGCCCAGTTGAGATGGGTAAAATGAATTTGTAGTATCGCTAATATGCTCTGTTGTTTGACTTTTTTGATCAATGTTTGATCACTTCATTACTGGCCGAAAGAAAGTAGGTACCTGGGTTTATAAACATTGTGATTTTTGTCTGTTGAGTATAACAAAATAAAAGGGTAGGGAAACTAGGGTGCTGGCAAGATTGTTGATGAAGTGCTGGATCTGGAACCTAATCCGTGCAAGGAAGGAAGTGAAGTCTGCAAGTAGGGGATGAATATGCCCTGGAGGTCTAATGTATGGCCGAGGGACTACAGTCAACTGCACTGTATTGGATATATACTTCACAGTTACTGAGAGACTTGATCTTACATGTTGTCTTTACAAAGAGATGGTAATTGTATGATAGGATAGTTAACTCTTTGGTAATCATATTACAATATAGAAATCACATTCTTTTTTAAAAAAATTTTTTAATGTTTGTTTTTGAGAGCGAGAGAGAGCATGAGTTGGGGAGGAGCAGAGGGAGGGAGACACAGAATCTGAAGCAGGCTCCAGGGTCTGAGCTGTCAGCACAGACTCCTACGCAGGGCTCAAATCCACGAACCACGAGATCATGACCTGAGCTGAAGTTGGACGCTCAACTGACTGAGTCACCCAGGTGCCCCTAGAAATTACATTCTTTAACTAAAACTTCTATAGTAACTTCCACAATGTTATATGTCAGTTATATCTCAAGAGGTACCTAAATTCCCTGTATTTCACATTGGACTCCTCATCTCTTATGAACCTTCTCCTTCAAGGAGTCAAGGACTTCAAAGTGTCTGGGATGTTAACTACTTACAAGCTAGTCAGTTAGCCTTTTCCTGTTGCACGGATGCTAGCCGACCACAGAGACTCCTTGGTCAGGGACCAAGGACCGCCTCCTAGCATAGCAAGTAGCATATCCTGGTGCTGGTTTGTGTTAATTTCCCCATGTTCCTCAGTTCCTCTGAGGTTAACACAGGTGGGCCTAGCTGGATGGCACACATGAAGTGGGTTTGTGTCCCAGCCCAGAAACACTGAGCTTGGGGAGTTGACTGCTTATGTGGAACCAAGTCTACTCTGTCTTGGGGTTGAGGAGACATTGCCTCATAGCTCAAGGTTGCTCGCTCCAAATACACCCCTGAGAAATGGCCCAAGTGAAAGTGACTAGGGCCTTATATTTTGGCACACCCAGGAAAAATGTATAGGGACATTCAGGGCCTGTGGGTCTCCCAAAAGTAACCTATCCACAGAGTGGTGGTGATGAGGGAACTGTTTTTTGTCACTCCTGTTCATGGTACCTCTGTCCTTTGGGACATCCAGGCTGGAAAATCTGATGCATTTGTACATATCACAGTCTATTCTGAGTAGCTCTTGCCACACGCTACTAGCTAGCCTTGTTACCTGAAACTGGATTTGCCTCTTGGTGAGTGCTGAGTCAATACACCCAATGAAGCCAAAGAACAGGAAAGGAAGGAGTTTTACTTGTAAAGGAGAATACTTTGTTTTTCCCCAAAGCAGTGTCTCCCTGAATGACAAAATAGAGGACATTTTAAGCTAAGGGTGCATACGTATTCATGAAGAAGTTTGGGCAATGGGGAATACAGCATGGAGTTGGGGCAAGCGTCATCTCAAGGTGACCAGGTCCAGGTCAAAGTCATGAGGAATGGTGGAAGCCGTGGTCGGCACCATCAGTTCTCTGGCTCCAGTTGAACTGGTATCAGTGCTCAAAGGGGTATAGATCCTGCAAAGTTCAAAGTGTGTGTGGGTCGGATCAATAGCCAGGCCTGATTGATAGTGGCTGTTTGTTCTCACCTTCTTTCCCAAGGTGTCTGGGGGCCAAAAATGACTTTTTTTTTTTTTAAATGTTTTATTTATTTCTAGGAGAGAGAGAGAGAGCGTGAGCAGGGGAGGGTCAGAGAGAGAGGGAGTCACAGACTGAAACAGGCTCCAGGCTCTGAGCCGGCAGTCAGCACAGAGCCCGACGCGGGGCTCGAACCCACGAACCGCGAGATCATGACCTAAGCGAAAGTCGGACGCTCAACCGACTAAGCCACCCAGGTGCCCTAAAAATGACTTTTTAAGAAAGCCGTGTCTGGGGGCGCCTGGGTGGCTTAGTCGGTTTAGCGTCCGACTTTCGCTTAGGTCATGATCTCGCGGTTCGTGGGTTCGAGCCCCGCGTCGGGCTCTGTGCTGACTGCCGGCTCAGAGCCTGGAGCCTATTTCAGAGTCTGTATCTCCCTCTCTCTCTGACCCTCCCCTGCTCATGCTGTCTCTCTTTCCTAGAAATAAATAAAATTTTTAAAAAAAAAAAAAGAAAGCCATGTCTGTTGGTCTTTTTCTGGGACGCCTAAGCTTACAGTTGCAGATAAGGTCTTCTTTAAAGGGTGATTTGTGTATGGGTGGCCTTGGGGTGGCAAGGCAGTAGTGAGTGGGTAAGAAGTGGTTTTGAATACCCTGAAACTAATGAGATCTGTTAGAGCCCCTTGGCTCTCCTTTTGAGTACATGAGCAGCTCAATAGGCAAGATTTACACTGGTTTTGCTTGCCCAGGATTTTCTGGAACTCAGGAAATGAAGAAGCATCGGAACCAGAGTTTTTAGGATTTCGGGGCCAGGGATCTCTCCGGTATGCTCCAGCACAGGCAGTTAAGGTTGTGAATTTAAAGAACCTGAATGCTACTTATCTTCAGTTCGGCAGAATGATATGCCAGATTGGCTGTAATTTAACCAGACTGGTACTCTGAATTGTTAAACGGTAGAACTTTAGCATGAAATGGTTAAGACTTCTAAAGAAAATTACCAAAATTTGCTGAAAACTTAAATGGAGAGGTAAATTACAATAGTAAATTGGAAATGGAATATTAGAATGATTTCAGTTCTTAAGTTATTTTACAGTTTAATGCCATTCCAATCAATCCCAATGGATTACTTTGTTAATTTGACAAAATAAATTTAAAATTAATCCTGAAACAATAAACAGATACTTGCACTATTGTTGAAATGAATGAAGGGTAGACCCCAGAAACAAATTCTGTCTTATGGGAATCAGAGTCTCTTATGAGAGTTTGGAGTTGGGATAGTCTTTTTGGGGCTCTAATTTTGACCTGAGGAAACACAAACTGGATCTGGTGCTTGGAGAAACAGAAGAAGTTATTTTGTAGAAAGAAGAAAAACAAATACGAAGAAGACAACAAGACAGATAGAGAAAGAATACTATCAGTTTTTAGCTTCTGGTTTTTGTGCTGAGTTGGTAATATTCCTGCCTTTTGGTTCTGTGATTCATCCTAAATATTTAGGAAAAAATTTCCTTTATTAAGCTATTTCAAGTTTATTTACTGGAAAGGTGTCTTAAGTGCTAGGGATGTAGTGAAAAAATAAAGTGAACAAGGTTCCTGCCTCAAAGGAGCTTTACATTTTGCCAGGAGGAAACAGATGACAAATAAGCACATACATGCTGGGTGGTGGTATTAAATGACCTTACATGATAAGGTACATGCTCTCAGTAAAGATCCCTCTGAGGAATTAACACTTGAGCAAAAATCTGAGAGCAAGCAGTGAAAGTATCAGGAATAAGAGCATTTCAGGCTGAGGGAAGGGCAGATATAATGAGGCCAGGGCACCTGGGTGGCTCAGTTGGTTAAGTGTCCAACTTTGGCTCAGGTCATGGTATCCTGATTCATGAGTTCAAGCCCCGCATTGGGCTCTGTCCTTACAGTACAGAGCATGCTTTGGATCCTATCCTCTGTCTCCATGCCACTACCTCAAAACTAAAATTAAAAAAAAAGAAAAAAAAAACACTGAGGCTAGATCCTACTGTGTTCAAAGGACATCAAGAAATCTTTAGGTGGCTGGAGCATAAGTGAGGGGATGGTGTGATTGATAAGGTCAGAGACAAGTGTGTAAGAGGTGGTTGTGTGGGGCTCTGTAGGTTAATGTAAAGAGTTAGGTTTTCTTCAGAATAGGAATGGGAAACCATTGTAAGATTTAAAGCAGAAGAGAGACTGTTTTATTTAAGTTTATTTATTCTGATTTTTTTAAAAGTTTGTTTATTTTGAGAGAGAATAGGGGAGGGGCAGAGAGAGGACGATCCCTTTCATGATGTGGGGCTTGAACTCCTGAACCGTGAGATTATGACCTGAGTGGAAGATGGATGCTTAACCTGCTGAGCCACCTAGGCAGACTTGTGTTTTCAATGAATCACTTGGTTGCTGTATTTAGAATAGACTGGGGAGTGGTTAACCGCAGTAGAAAGGAGACCAAGTGAGATGGTGGTGGCTTAGACTGAGGTAGTCAAAGTGGAGGTAATCAAAGTTGTTAGATCCTAGGTGTTTTTTTCTGAAGGAAGATGGATTACATATAGGGTGTGCAAGAAACAAGTTAAGAATGACTCCCAGGTTTTTGTTTGAAAGTGTTGGAAGGACTCAATTTTCTTTTACTGAGACAGGGAAGATCTGGAGGTAGAGTGGGGTTCAACTTTAAAGTATGAACTTTGAGGTGCCTGTTAGACATGTATGTGGGAATTAACTCTTGGTGCCCTCTGAACTATTATAAAGTATTTCTCACTGGACTATATTCTAGTACTAATGTCTATAATTTTAGTCTTTGTTTTTTTTTTTTAATAATGACCTCTAAGTTATTTTGAGAGTGAAATAGCATGCATGCTCTAGCAAAGGAAGGTCAGAAAGAGACGGAGAGAGTCTTAAGAGGCTCTGTGCTGTCAGCTCTGTTATACAAACCTGGGAGATCATGACCTGAACTGAAATCAGGAGTCTGAGCTTAACCAACTGAGCCACCGAGACCCCCCCCCCAAAAGTAGGTTAATATGTAAATGGAGAACTAAATCAGTCTCTCTCACTGTTGTTTGTTTGTTTGTTTTTTTGACAGTTGCTTTCACTTGTTAATTTCTGAGGTAAACAAGTTAAAGGATGAGTGAACTGGAACAGTTGAGGCAGGAAGCTGAACAACTTCGGAATCAGATCCAGGTAAGAAAGTTTCTCATTTTGAAATTAACACTTTTATTTATTAGTACCAGCAATGAATAAAAGTTGTTCATTACTTCATCAGTCTATATATATTAAATTGAAAAGGCTTGAAATGGTCAGTTTGTTTTTATCATACCTTTGAAGTACTCTATAAAAATGATTCCTGAAAGATCTCTCTGTGGACTTATGGCCTCTGTGTCCCTAAGAAATTAATATTATGTATGGAATTCCTGCAAACGTCATTCTCTTTTTAGTTACACACCTGGAATCATAGTTTGATTTTTGGTGCAATACGATGAGGCAGGTATTATCACATTGTAATTGTAATACACTAGAAAAATAGGAATCTCTAAAACATTACGGGAAAAACATTAAAAATTATTAGTGGCATAATAAAGATATATCTGTCATCTTTCACTCTTGGAAATCAACTCAAAACAGGAGGATCTTAAAAGTTGCATCTTAAAAAATAAAAGACACTTAGGATTTCACACTAAGAGTCAAATGGAGTGACACATCAAGGCTTGAGAAGGCTCTGAGAGAGGGTTTCTGCAAAGTGGGGAGCGCTCCATCAGCAGCACCCGTAATCCTCTTAGGAACAGTGGAAACAGATGTTTCCCTGGACAGAGGAATAACAAGAAAGTAGAGATAAAAGATGGCATGTCTACATTCCTTCATGTTTAGGAAGCCTCTTAGTGAGCATGGTGGAGGAAAGAGACTGAATTGTAGCTCAGCGCTGCCTACTTTTTGTAGGGAAAGCAAAGGCTGAATCAGAGATAGGAATGAAGAACTTCAGTACAAATGGGGGAGAATTCCTGAGAACTTGGAACACATGCTTACCCCACCCTGCCGCCCCTGCTCTGAACCTTTTGCAATGGCTGTTTCAGAAGAACTCTTCTAATTTGAAAGCAAAGAGTAAGAAGAAAGGAAGAAGCACAGGATCTATAGAAGGGTATTAACAAGGGGAGAGGAAAGGAGCAGGAAAAACAAGGGTGACTGAAGAATAGGCACAGAGAAAACATTGTTTCTTTTTTTTTATTTTTAAATGTTTTTATTCATTTCTAGGGGAGAGAGAGAGAGAGAGAGAGACAGCGTGAGCAGGGGAGGGTCAGAGAGAGAGGGAGACACAGACTCTGAAATAGGCTCCAGGCTCCGAGCTGGCAGTCAGCACAGAGCCCGACGCGGGGCCCGAACCCACAAACTGCGAGATCGTGACCCAAGCGAAAGTCGGACGCTTAACTGACTAAGCCACTCAGGCGCCCCAAGAAAACATTGTTTCTGATTGGATTGAAATTATAACCAAATCTTACTGCCAGGAATTCAAGGCAGAGAATGATTTGGATGTGAATAAGAACTGAGTCTAATAGTTTAGATGTTTGAACAAAGCTGTCCAAACAAAGGAGGGATTTATTTTGCCTATGATGATGAGAGAAAGCTTCATAGAGTAATCTCTAAATTAGATGATGTTGTCAACACCTGAATGGATCCTCAGTGATCTCTACTTTGTATCATTTGCTCTACATGCTGAACAGGACTGACTCATTGGCTGTGCACATGGTCACATGACCAGCCATGTCATTTAAAAAATTCTATTCTCTGTGTATATGAACTTGGCCTTTTAAAATTACATGTAAGTTAGATCACATGGTATTTGTTTTTGTCTGACTTGTTTCACTTAGCATAATGCCTACAGGGTCCATCCATGTTGTTGGTTGGAAATGGCAAGATCTCTCTCTCTCTCTCTCTCTTTTAAGTAGGCTTCAGGCCCAGTGCAGAGCCCAACACAGGGCTTGAACTCCCGACCCGGAGATCAAGAGTCAGATGCTTAACTGATTGAGAGCCTAGGTGCCCTAACATCTTTTTTTTTTTTTTTTTTTAAATGGCTGAATACTATTCCTGTGCATGTGTACATACATTTTCTTTACTTACTCCTTTATTGATGGACACTTAAGTTGTTTCCATGTCCTAGCTATTTGAATAATGCTGCAATGAACATAGGTGTGCGTATATCTTTTTGAGTTGGTATTTTGGTTTTCCTCTGATAAATACCAGAAGTAGAATTGCTGGATCATATGGTAATTTATTTTTAATTTTTTTGGGGGAAACTCCCTACTGTTTTCCACAGTGGCTGCACAAATGCACATTCCCACCAACTGTGCACAAGCGTTCCCTTTTCTCCACATCCTTGCCAGCACTCATTATCTTTTTGATATCTGCCATTTTAACAGGTGTGAGGTAATGTTCATTGGGGTTTTGATTTGCCTTTCCCTGATCGTTAGTTATGTTGAGCACCTTTTCATGTGTCTTTTGGCCATCCATGTCTTCTCTGGAAAAATGTCTATTCAGGTTCTCTGCCCCCCCCCCCCATATCATTTATTGTCAAGTTGGGTAACATACTGTGTATACAGTGTGCTCTTGGCTTGGGAGTAGATTCCCATGATTCATCGCTTACATACAACACCCAGTGCTCATCCCAACAAGTGCCCTCCTCAGTGCCTATCACCCATTTTCTCATCTTGTCCAATGCTCCACCCCCCCCCCGCCCCATCAACCCTTAGTTCTCTCTCTCTCTCTTTTTTTTTTTTTTTTAAGAGTCTCTTATGGCTTGGCTCCCTCTCTGTTTGAAACTATTTTTTTCCTACCCCATGGTCTTTTGTTAAATTTCTCAAATCCATATAGGAGTGAAAACATACCTATATCTGTCTTTGACTTATTTCACTTAGCACAATACCCTCCACTTCCATCCACATTGTTACGAATCTCTGCCCATTTTTTGATCAGATTGTTTTGTTTATTTTGATGTTGGTTATATAAAGTCTTTATATATTTTGGACATTAACCCCTTATGGGACAAATCATTTGCAAATATCTTCTCTTATTTAGTAGGTTGCCTTCTGTTTTGTTGACGGTTTCTTTTACTGTGCAAAAGCTTCTTATTTTAGTGTAGTTCCAGTAGTTTGTTTTGCTTTTGTTTCCCTTGCCTGAGGAGACCTATTCAAATATATGTTGCTAGGGGTTTTTTGTTGTTTATTTTTGAGAGAGAGCGAGAGCAGGAGCATGTGGGAGAGGGGCAGAAACAGGGAGACAGAATCCGAAGCAGGCTCACCTCTGAGCTGTCAGCACAGAGCCTAACATGGGGCTCCAACTCAGGGACTGCAAGACCATGACCTGAGCCAAAGTTGGACGTTTAACTAATGGAGCCATACAGGCACTCCTGTTTTGTATGTGTAGTTTGTTTGTTTTCAAGGAGTTTTATGGTTTCAGGTCTCATGTTTAGGTCTTTAATCCATTTTGAGTTTATTTTTGTGTGTGGTGTAAAGTGGTCTAGTTTTGTAGCAGGATTCTTGCACATAGTCATGACACCAAGGCTTTTCTTTCCAGGAAGCAACTTTATTCAAGCTGTCATCGCGCAGTAGGGTTCCTAAGAACTGAGCCCCAAACACCATGTGGCGTGGTTTTTTATATACTGCTTTGTCTCCCGTATATGGTAACACACAACATGCAGTCTGATTAACGTGGTCTCATGTTACAAGGTCGTGAGGGATGTCCTCACATACAGGAATAGCAAGGTTGCCTTGAGATGTTGTTTTTTTTTTTCCTTCCCTTAGGGAAGGAACCCTACCACAGTTTCATTCTTTGCATGTAAATGTCCAGTTTTCCCACTCCCATTTATTGAAGGACTGTCTCCTCCCCCCCTCCCCATTGCATCCTTTGTTATGGATTGATTGGCCATATAAACATGCATTTATTTCTGGGCACTGTCCTGTTGTATTGATTTGTCTATTGTGTCAGTACCATACTGTTTTGATTTACTATGACTTAGAAGTATGGTTTGAAATTTGGAATTGTGATACCTCCAACTTTGTTCTTTCTCAGATTAGCTATTCAGCTTTGGCTGTTCAGGGTCTTTTGTGGTTGCATACAGATTTTAGGATACTTTGTTCTGGTTCTGTGAAAAATTCTATTGGTGTTTGGGGATTGCATTGAATCTGTAGATTATTTTGGGTAGTATGGACATTTTGACAGTATTCGTTCAATCCATGGGCATAGTATATTTTCCCTTTTTTTAAAAATTGGATTGTTTTGCTTTTGAGTTGTCCAAGGTCTTTGTTTTGGATCTTAACCCCTTATCAGATACAGGATTTACAAATATTCTCTCCCTTCCAGAAGGTTGCTTTTTCATTTTATTGATGGTTTCCTTTACTGTGCAGAAGCTTTTTAGTTAGATACAGACCCACTTGTTTATTTTTGCCTTTTGTTGTCTTTGCTTTGGGCGTCCAATCCAAAAAATCATTGCGAAGAGAGATGTCAAGGAGCTTACCACCTATATTTTTTTCTAGTAGTTTTATGGTTTCAGGTGTTACATTCAAGTGTTTAATCCATCTTGAGTGTATTTTTGTTGATGGTGTAAGATAGTGGTACAGTTTCATTCTTTTGCTTGTGGCTATCCAGTTTTTCCAACACTGTTGAAGAGACTGTCTTTCCCCTATTGTCATAAATGAATTGACCCTATATGCATGGGTATATTTCTGGTCTCTCTGTTCTGTTAATCTATATGTTCATTTTTATCACAATTCTGTACTCTTTGGTTACTGTGGCTTTGTAATGTAATTTGAAATCAGAACATGATGCCTCCGGTTTTGTTCTTTTGTCTCACATTTCTTTGGCTATTTAGGGTGTTTTGTGGTTTCATACAGATTTTAGGATTATTTGTAATTTTGTGGAAAATGTATCTGTGGAATTTTGATACAGATTGCATTGCATCTGTAGCTTGTTTTGAGTAGTATGGACATTTTAACAATATTCTTTCAATCCATGGGCATAGAATGACTTTCCGTTGATTTGTGTCTTTAGTTTCTTTCATCTTCCCTATTTTCAGTGCACAGGTCTTTTCACTTCCTTGGTTAAATTTATCCCTAGGTATTTTTTCCTTTTGATGCAATTGTAAATGGGATTGTTCTCTTGATTTCTTCGTGATAGTTAATTATTAGTGTATAGAA